ACAAGGCAAAATAATGATGAACGTTAGAGCTGAAAATGTTTTTCACTTCATGTGAGTATTGCAGATTGTGTACATGCTTTAAAAACCCACGCTGTACCTCACAAACATGTACGACTATTATGTGTAAAGCAGAAATTACAGAAATAAAATATGTTAGAAAGAAAAAAGGTATATGGGACAAAGGATAATGACTATTTACTTCAGGAATCTAGGTAAATGGTGAGGGTAGTTTGAACAGACAGGCTGTTTTGTCTTCTGTGCTTAGTATAAACTATTGAAACAGAGACAATTGCAAAGCAGTACCTAAATTGGTAAATTTAACAAACAATCCCCACATTTTAAAGAAAACAACAAATGATGGTTCATTTTATTGAGATAGTTAAAGCCATAACTCTTTAATTTTATAGGAACTGCTTGGATTCGGCAAATATTGTGCTTGATTCATTTCACGGACTATCGTAACAAAACTGACACAAGGCCTCTGGATTTAGGAGCCCCCTTCCTGGAGTACAATGTTTCTCACGTTGACTTAGAGAAGACGCCCTCTCCTCGAATTATTGGTAGCCACTTACCATATTATTTGGTACCAAGAGGATTGAAGAACAAAAAAGCCAAAGTAAGACATAGAATTGATTTATCACACTATATTTTTTGAAGAGAAGTATTGCCTTTTCTATCATTGCTGAATTTAATGTCCATTCTTATGAAAATGGTTTTTGTGATAGCAGCATTCTCTGATTTTTAATTAAAATGTAATAAAATCATGTTTTATTATGAGACCATCTCTAAAATGAAATAACTCTAAAAGTACACAAAAAACAAGAATATTTTTTATCATCATTTCAAACTCTTCTTTCTATAATTTTCAAAAATCCTCTTAAAATATTTTCAGTAAACCTTTCATAGGTTTTATGCTCATTATTTTTACTAGTCTTTCTTATTGCTAGGGAAACTTTGATATTTCGGTTTGAAAGGTTATGTATTGATTTCTTGTCATGAGTGTTGAGTATAACATTCACATATTCCCATCTCTTCTGTTTCTTCACTCTCACTATTACATCAGCTGATTCATTTTAACTTCCATTTGCAATATACAATAGTGCTCCTGTACTTTATTCCCTAATTAATGTTTATCATTTGAAAATTGCATTTATGTTTCCAGTGTCTCTTTCCCAGCCATTACTTTTTACTGACAGTTTTCCTTTCATCTTTATTAAACTTTAATTGACAAACAAGAATATGTTTATTAATATTGTCCTATGTCATCCTGTTTTTTTTTTTTCTTTTTGAGAGAAACTTCTCACTATACAGCATGTGTGCTTGCTGGAAAGAGAGAGAGATCCAGAGAGAGAGAAAATGAGAAATCATCCTCAGGGAGGACAGAGGATGACCACACCATAATCACTTCTCCTCCATTATTCTCTCAGACATGGGGCACAAACACACACAAACCCAGTAGGAGTTTCAAGTCTCAGGGACTAAGCTTCAAACTGCGGAAAGTCAAATGAGAGTCCAATGCCTAAACCATTAGGCTACTTGGTGGCCCCAATGTTATGTTTTTGTTTTGTTTTGTTTTGTTTTGAGAGGTTTTTGCTATAGGGCGCGTACGCTCGCCAGACAGACAGAGACAGAGACAGAAAACGAGAAATCACCCCCCAGGGGGGATGGCCACGCCACAATTCCTTCTCCTCCATTCTCCTCTCCTGATCTTGGGCATGGGTGCACACGCGCCCGGCGTGAGTTTTAAGCCACCGAGTCTGGGACGCAAATCGCGGTCGACTACACGGGAGTCCAACAACATAGCCATTACGCAAACTACCGATCCCCAAACCAACTGTCCAAGAACAGATGAATGGATTGAAAAAGTGTGGCACATATACACTATGGAAAAGTACTCCACCATAAAAAAAAAAAAAATTAAAGAGAGACCCTGCATTTGATAGAAAGTGAGTGAATATGGAATATTTAATGCTAAGTGAAGCAAGTCAGATTATGAAAGAGAATCATTATATGTCCCCACTTAATACATACCAAATATCTGCATGTTATGACATAGGCTGAAAGACTGAAAGGTATAAAGGCATGGAGAGCAACTGGGATACTAAATACAGTGTGGAAGGAGGGTGGGAAGTAGAGGGGTAGGAGGGAGGGAATCAAGGGGGAAAAAAGAAAACATTTAACAGACACAAAAGTGGAAAATTAGCTGTTGATGATGTGTATAGCAATATCTTTGACTGGACTAATATGCAGTGTATTTATGCTGGGAAAATCTAATTTGTATACTGTAAAGATTCACAAGGATTAAATATTTTTAAAAAAGAAAAGAAAAATTATAAGGGAATACTACAAAGAATTCAGATGCAACAATTTACATGAAATTTAAAAATCCTTTATAATCACTAACTAGCAACATGCCTCCAAAGTGAAAGAGTCTGTTTAGAAGAGTCTACAGCTATCTCGGAAATTAAATTTGTAGTTAATAATCGCCTCAGATAGAAATCTCCAAGGTCTTATAGTTTCACTGTAAATTTTTCTAAGCACTTAAAGAAATTATGCCAGAAAAAAAAAAAGAGAGAGATAAATGATGCCAGTTTCACACAATCTTCTAGAAAATAGAAAGGAGGGAACATTTCTTATTTTATAAAACAAGCATAAAGGAGAATGGTTTAAGATGAAGCTGGGAAAGTAAATAGTCTAAGAGCTCTGGTCTTTATCCTAAGAACAAGAAAAAAACAACTTTAGGATTACTTCAGAATGTTGAAAGAGCTTTGGGCTAAAAATGAAGCAGGAATAATAATGGACATTTTCTTAGGTGGTTCCTTTCAGTTACTATTCTCTGCTAAAGTAGAGAGAGATGTAACGTCTGTCCATTCTTTTATGCTTCCTTCTCCGGCCCTACAATCCTGCTTTGGTAGGTCTGCCGAGGAAAAAAGCCTCAGGCCAGTCCACCACCTGGTGGGTTGGATCCCACATAGCCAACCTAAGTTTGAGTCTTGGATCACTGGCTCAAAAAACATGCCAGGCATGTGTGCATGAGTGCTCAAAATCTAGAAAGGAGGGAGGGATGGAGGAGAATGTATTACAGTGTGACAGTTCCCCATTAGAAGTGCTTCCTCTCCTCCCTTCCCCCCTCCCCTCTGGTAAGTAGGTGTGCATTCTGGCACATTAAAAAAAGAAAAAAAGTCTCTGTCATATCTTGCCAGCATCTAGGAAGAAGAGAAAAGAACCTCGAAGGGGAAAAGTGCTAACTTCTTCTATCCTTGCACCAATTACCAAAATGCCCTCAATTTTTAGTTCTAGTTTATGTTAACATTTCATTTTAGTTTTTAAATTGCAAGTGTTCTAAAATCCAGGGGTCTGACTTTAAGGAGTTCAGTAGAAATTATATATAACATCTTGCACGTGTGCAGACATGAGTATTTTAGAGAGGGTAAAGATATATAGCTTTTATTAAATTATTGAAGGGCTCCAAGATTCCTCTATTAAATTGGGGTAGAGAATTAAATGTTACATTTTCTCTTTAAGTTAGAATTTATGACCATCTTGCTAAGTGAAAGTCATATCAATAAAAAGTATCAAATGCCAAGTACCAGTTAGTTTATTTAAAGTGAAATACAGAATAAATTAACATCAAAGATTTTAACTAGCTTATGGTCATATATAAGATCAAATATGATACAGTTCTCTATAACTTCACACTGGAGACTACATAAGATAAATCAATAGTGATGGGGGTCAGCATGTGGCATGGTAGTTAAGGCACTGGACTCCCACGCGTCAGACCATGGTTCTAGTCCCAGACCTGTTGGTTAGCTTTCCCACTCCTCCCACCCCCTCTGGTGAGAGCTCATCCCCTATAGTAAATTGAAGATAATAATAACAATTATAAAATAAATCATTCTTTTAAAAAGTCAGAATTCTGATCTTAAATCATTGTAAAATAATGAAATTATACTCAAAAATTAAATAAAGATTATATTGTGTCAATATAGTTTAGAGTTAAGTTTAATTTCAAGTAGTAGAAAATACGTAACTCATGAATTCTATATTTCCATAGGGTAATTTTCTGCACGGCTTTCTCCTTACAAATACTCCGCCTACGCATCCTGGACAGATCTATAAAAGAGGGAAGAGAAAGCCTCAAGATTTTTCTATTTATTCTCGAGAAGACTTGAGTTAGTTGGCGCCAATGAGGCATTTTCTATGCACTCCTGGGCTCTCGTGGTCTGCATTCTAAGGCTGTCCAACATTTCTCCTGTCTCTTCTTCTCCCGTCCCCCCATCTCCCCACTCCCCCC